TATAAATATATTAATAATATATTAATAAAGAGCTATATATAACTATTAACTTTATTTATAGAATACTCTATAATATTTATATTTAAAAAGAATAGTAAACTCTATTTAGTTATTAATTATTAATAGTTAAATAAGATTATATATAAGAATAGAATACTTTTATTACTAATTACTAAACTTAGAGATTAATTATAAAGTAAATAGTAATTTACTATTTTAGATCTAAAAAGAGCTTATAATTTAATATAAATTAAGAAAAAAAATAAATAGAAAATAGTATTTAAAATAAAGTTTAATTTCTATAAGTATTTTATTATACTCTTTAGACTAATAAATATATTTATAATATTCTAATAAATAATTAATTAAATACTCTAAGAATATCTTAATATCTTTATAGTTATTTATTTTAATAATATTTTAATTTTCTCTAATAATCTGAAGATATATAAGGAATATATATATTAAGTTTTAGAAAAACTAGAAAAAATAAAACTTCTTATAAAACTAGAAAAAAGTTTCTTCTATATATAAGAAATTAACTTCTTAGAATATATTATTTAATTAAATAAAATATAGATAGAATAAAATAAAATTATTATAATTAAGAAATAAAAAGTATTAAAAACTATTAAAAAAGTATAAACTTTTCTTAGATTTATTAATTATTATTAATAATTTATTAGGAATTATAGAAAAATTATTATATTCTTATATAATATTATTAAAAAGAAAATAGAATTCTAATAGAATAATAAATAATAATAAGTATTTAATAAAATAAAAAACTAAATACTTTTAGAATTTATATTATAGATATTTAATTCTATATAAAAAATAGAACTTAAAATAAATATTTTAAACTTTATAATTAGTATATAAATTAGCTAAAGAGATAATAATAGAGTATTATACTCTATAGTATTCTTTTTAAAGAAACTATATAATATAGAACTTAATTATTCTATCTATAATAAGGAATTTATAGCTATTATATATATATTTAAAGAATTTAAATACTATTACTTAGGAATAATATATAAGATTAAGATATATATAAATTATAAGAATATTTAGTACTTTATAATAATCTAGTAACTAAATAGAAAATAAATATATTATACTAAATATCTATTTTAATTTAATTATAAAATAATATATTAAAAAGAATTAGAAAATAGAAGAGTTAATATTTTTAACTGAAAATCTAAATATAAGAAAGTAGTACTAAGAATAAATAGATAATTATTCTTAACTAATAATAAAGAATACTTAGTATAGAAAACCCTAGGAGTTATACTTAAGAAAATAATATATATTAAAGTCTAGATAGAAACTATTTCTAGCTTAGAAAAGTTATAGTAAAATACTAGGATAATACTTATTAAGGAAATCTATAAATACTTATTCTTAGAATATTAAGAAGTTAAGAAAATATTTAATAGGATTAGATAATATTATAATTATCTAGATCTAAGAAAGAATATATAGATTATAGTTTTAGAATATAATATTTATATAAGAATTAAATCTATATAATATAAATCTTATAAAGAACTTAAACTAGTTTTAATATTAGAATAATTATAATAATTAATATTCTTTAATTATATTATTAAACTATTACTATCTAAAGAACTAATAACTAGAGTAGAATATAATAATATATTAATAATTATTAATAGACTTATAAAGTATAAATATTTTATTCTATATAAAAAAGTAAGCTTTATAGAAGACTTTATATATTAGTTTCTATAATATATAATTAGTTACTATAGACTATCTAATAAAATAATATTAAATAGAGAAATAATATTTACCTTTAAGTTTTAATAATTATTAATAGTATAAATAAGTACTAAATATAAGCTTTTAATAGTTTACTATCTTTAAAATAATAGTTAAATAGAATAACTAAATTAAACTCTAAAATAATATCTATAAGTATATATTAATTATAAATAAAATAATTAGATATAACTACTATTTATAGTATAAATTATATATAATAGCTTAGTATAAGAATTAATCTAATTTATATCTATATATATAAACTATAGCTATAAACTATAATTCTAAAACTAACTAGAACTTATAGAACCTAATATACTAGCTATTATACTTATAAAAGAAATATTATATTTATTATATATAGAAATAAAAATAGAATTTAAATTTATTTAATAAAGAATAAAAAAATACTATAATAAAACTAGATTAGAAGAACTAATTTTAAAGAAGGGAGATAAAATCTATCTACTTTATAAAAATATTATAATAATAAAACTAAGTAATAAATTAGATTATAAAAAACTTAGATTATTTAAAATTCTTAAGAAAAAATTAGATATTAATTATAAACTCTTACTACTAGATATAATATATATCTATCTAGTTTTTTTTATCTTATTATTTAAAAAAGTATTAAAAAATATACTAGATTAGAATTATCTAATTAAGATTTATAAAGAAGAATTTAAACTAGAAAAAATTCTAAAAAAAGAAATTAGAAATAAATAAATCTTTTACTTAATAAAATAGAAAAAGTATATTAATAAAGATAATATTTAGAAATCTATTAAATATTTAAAGAATTATTAATAGCTTATTTAATAGTATTACTAGAACTAGAAATACTTATTCTAATAAACTAAGAAGGAGATAACTCTATACCCTTCTAAAGAAATACTAGATTAATCTTAATTTCTAAGAATATAAGCTTAAATAAAGATATAGTTAGAAATAAGATCTACTTTTAGATTATTTCCTCTATTTTCTTTTACTTAATATACTCTAATTCCTCTATACTATTAATACTATAAGATATTATCTATATTATCTTATTTAATTATAATTTCTTTTATTAATAAAGATACTAGATTTTTATATCTATATAATAATATTCTTTCTTTACTATCTCTAGCTTAAACTCTAGTTTATTATACTAATTAATAATATATTTTAACTATTCTAATATAAGATCTTAAGTATTATAATATAATTAATTATTTTTAATATAGTAGAAATAATAAGATAAAGAACTTTTTAATCTAAAGTATTTATAATTATAAGATTTATAATAGTTATACTCTAACTATATTATTAAAGAATTTAATAAAATAATATTAATAAGAGTATTATACTAAAGAGTTTTTTTATAAAAAGCTTTTTAAATATAATTAAATATTATTATAAATTATAAAAAGAATAAAGAATTAAATTAGAAAAGACTTACTAATAAACTATAGAATATAGTTTTAAGAATATAATTAATAGAAAGAGAACTTTATATTATAAATTATATTATTATATATTAAAATTATATAGATTACTCTATTTTTTCTAATTAATTACTAGTAAATTATTAGGATTTTATAATAATTCTAATAATTTAGAATAATAGATTATTACTAAGTATTAATAATCCCCTAGTATATATATATATTTATTTTACTAGATAGAATACTCTCTTAGATAGTTATTAATATAATTATCTATATCTCTATTATTACTAGCTCTATAATACTTATATATTAATAGTAACTTATATTATATAGCCTGAGATAATCTGATTATACTACTCAGAATAATACTCTAATTAGTTTAACCCTGATCTACCCTAGACCCTGTTCAGTATAAGTTATCTAACTATTATATTACTTTATTAATATAAATTATATTTAATTAATTAATTAATTACTTATAGTAAAATAATTATAAAAGCCTATAAAGATACTTTCTAATATATTACTTATAGAGAAATAATAAAATTAGATATAAAAGATTATAAGTTATATTCTTAGAAACTATAATTAAAAACTAGTTTTTATACTATTTAGAAATTAAAATAGCTTTTTAATATTAATAGATATTTTTTTTACTATATATTATACTTAAGAATTAAAAAAAAAAGAGAATAAGATTTTAAATAAGAATATCTATCTAAATAAAGTCTATATCTAATTAGATATTTTTACTATTAGTATTATTCCTAATTAGGAAATCTTCCTATTATTTTATACTATTTCTAAATAGATAATTCTTTAAACTTAAATAATTAAATAAGGAAAAATCTTAAAAATATATAGAAAAAAGATTTAAAATATAGATTTTTTAATAGATTTATTAAGATTTTAAAATATAAATTTAGTAAGATTTTTTTCTTCTAAGCTTAAGCTAAGTTTTTCTATCTGAGGCTATATAGAGTATTAGAATATTAGAGTATATAGGGGTATATAGGCTATACAGGCTATTATAAATATATAGACTATCTTATTACTTATATAGATATAAGCAGCTATCTTAATAAAGCCTTATCTAGTTAGGCTTTAAGTAAAACCTTATTAATATATTATTATTTTCTATAATAATCTACTAAATAATAAATATATACTTAGATCTATAAGGGTTTAAGATTAATAAAACTATAGAGCTATAATATCCTTATATAAATATATAGTATATATATTATAGGGATATATTACTATTAAATATTAGACTAAGTATTACTATATACCCTAGGACTATACTTTATACTATAATAATAGTTCTCTATTATTTCCAGCCTATAGTAGAAAGAAAATATAAATAACTCCCTAAATTAAATCCTTAATCTATAATCTTAATTTATAATCTTTCCTCTTCTATCTATCTATCTTCAGTCTTTATGGATACTTCTGCTTGAAGAAGGCTGAAGTGAATGACATGTGAGAGATAACCGCTCTAGAGTTCCCGATAGGCTGAGGAGACCCTCTGACAAGCCGGCGATTGCCTAGTCAGGGAGGAACCCGAAAGAAGAATTCACCAACCCTTAACATTCCCCATGTAGGCCCTAGCCGCATTATTCGACAACGTTTTGGCGTCTGTGTAAACTGTCAAGGTTTTTGCGTCTGCGAGGGTGAAACTATCCTACACCGAAACGCGTCAATCCCCCCCCTTCTCCCCCCTTGTCATCCATCCTATCAATGACGATGCACATCCATCAACAAGCACTCGCCATGATTCGCGCCCTCATAAAGCAGCAGCCCCGTCGGGCCATGCTCTACCTCGCCGTCTTCGCCTCCCTCTTCTTTACCCTCGCCCACCTCTTCCTCCGCGATGACGATCTCCTCCCCGCCCGCGTCTTCGAGGACTTCCCCCACCACGGCCTCTGCGCCGCCCACGGCTTCGACACCTTCCCGGCCGCCGCCTCGGGCCCCCCCAGCCGCAAGGTCTACGACCTCACCATGATCAACACCGAGCTCGACTGGCTCGAGATCCGCCTCGACGCCCTCTACGACGCCGTTGACGTCTTCATCATTGTCGAGTCCCCCATCAACTTCCACGGCCACGCCAAGCCCATGCACCTGCGCGACAGCTGGGACCGCTTCGCCAAGTACCACGACAAGATGCTCTACCACGAGCTCGAGTTCTCCGGCAGCTTCCGCCCCGAGCGCACCTGGGACATTGAGTCGCTGCAGCGCGACGCCAGCTACGAGCAGGTCTTTCCCAAGCTGACCGGCGACCGCGCCCCCCGCCTCGGCGACGTCCTCGTCGTCGCCGACGTCGACGAGATTCCCCGCCCCGACACCATCCACACCCTGCGCGCCTGCAACTTCCCCCGCAGGCTCACCCTCTTCTCCCGCTTCTACTACTACTCCTTTCAGTTCCAGAGCGTCGGCCCCGAGTGGCACCACCCCCAGGCTACCTACTTCGACGCAGAAAAGACGCTCAAACCAAACGACCTCCGCGGCAGCGGCGGCGGCAACTACTACTCCCGTAAGAAGGAGTCGGGCAGCTACGCCAACTCGAGCTGGCACTGCAGCAGCTGCTTCGACTCGGTCGACCAGTTCCTCAACAAGATGGCCTCCTTCTCCCACAGTTGGATGAACGGGCCCCAGTACCGGAACCCGGACCACATCGCCAGCGCCGTCCGCGATGGGCAGGACATCTGGGGCCGCAAGTCGTCGACCTTTGAGAGGCTCGACAACAACCAGGACCTTCCTCCCCTCGTTAAGGGCGACGAGCGTTTCATATATCTAAAAGATCGCAGCGGCGAGTCTGCTGGCTTGAAGGATTATCCATGAGAGCCGCCACCATGTGCTAGGGATGAAGTCGGTAACGACCGTAACGAGTGGAAGGTTCTACGATGAAGGCGCTGGCAGCACCATGTTTCGGTGTGCTGGATGGTGAGCGTCGACATCGGCGACATATCGGCGACCGAAACGAGAGGATGTATAGGGATGAAGCGACCTTTCGTTCCTCGAGGCATAGCTGGCCCGCAGACCTGATGTAGCTCGTTGGATTGGGATCGATGGCGCTCGCTCGAGATGAAGACTTTTGAACTACAAATGGTAACCTTTGCTCCATGTGCGTGTGCCCTAGCAAACATACATCCACTCATGTGACCATTGATGCTAGCGTTTCCCCGCACTTGGCCCCACCAACCAAGTTGCTCAGAGTAACAACCTTAAGAACTGCGGATTACCTCTGAGGCCCTATAGTAAAAGCTATATCCTCCTTAGCTTTACTTAATCTATCAAGGCTCCTTCGTATTCCTATAATCACTAAGGTAATTCTATTATTTCTTATACTCGCAGATATTATTATCCTTTATTATATATATCAGGTACTTTATAATATTATCTAATCTCAGTATTAAAGTTAACTTAATACTAGCTATCTTCTAGAGGCCTTTATTAAGGATTATACTTTATTCTAATATAAACTTACTTTCTGTAATAGCCTCCTAGCTAGCAGAGCTATTCTGGAATTCTTAGAGCAGTATTATAATACTATTCTATATCTGGATATCCTACTGGAAGGTAGTCCTTATATAACTAATTTTATTAACTACTTATACTTAAAAGAGTACTATACCAGTCTTAATAATAGAGATATAAGGAATAATTCTATTAATAGATACTTCTTTACTAATATAAAGGGTTTTAAACAGAGTACTCTTATATTCTACTGACCGATCTTACCCGATAGAATAATTTATATTATAACTTCAGATATAATCCCGATCTATACCCTTTTATATTTATCCTGTATAACCACGGACTTAAGTTTTATATCGTAGAATAAGATATACTCTATATTCCCTCTTGTAATAATTATAAATTATAAACTCTATCCTCTGTATCCGCTAGATAATTACCTGGGAGCTCACCTTGCTGAAATTTCTAAATAAGGTTAGACTAGTTGTGATATCATATAGCTAGATCTAGCCCGGCTCAAAGTGCAAAATATAGGCTCACGACGAGTTGGCGATCGATACACCTTGGCTATGCCGCTTCATCCAGTACTGGAAAGGACGGGGCAGACGCCAGATTACGTTTTAGAACATGCTGAATTTCACGTATTCGACTAGAAACTGCCTCTTCCACGGTCTACTTCTAAATTTCCATCGAGAAATACTCTACAATTGTTCAGTGAAGAACTGTCAATACGGGTACAGGAGTTAGCTTCGCCAGCTCTCTACTATCAATATACCACCGGTCATGGTTTGCTCAGTAAGGACTGGCGTCTATATGCCGAACAACGCCTCAAACGCTGGACAATTGCTGAGCTATACAAAATCCCCTCATCGAGACGCCCATTGAATCCTACAACATTTAACTCTCCATTTGGTTCGCTTCCATCCCACCATGAACTGCCCGCAAGTTGGGATTATGCAGATGACCAGATGGCGCAGTGGTACAGGCAGTGGGAAGAAGAAAGAAAATGATGTTGGTGGCTCCGTCAGTGTTCTAGGAAATACTAGACCTCTAAAGAGGCTCTTTCCAGCTAGGTGATAATCTATTAGCTACTAAGCTGGTAATTCAATTCTAGTAATTCAAGGTTGCAGGGTGCCTTGCCTGTGTCAATCACGTCCACGCGTGGGATATTCCTCTTACACTTGTTTGATATATATACTTGCCTGGACCATTAGCCCCACAAGTCTCAACGCAGTTCAGTCGAATAGCGGCCGTGCCACAAGCTTATCAAGAAGCGAACTATAAGATAAGGCGACCAACCGCGTACGGCTAGAAGAATAGCCTGAGGCGGGGTAGCATCAACAGTGCTCCTCACCCTCAATACCTTTTACACACAGATCTATCCTCAAGCGTCACAAT